TTCACGCGCGACGTGTACCAGCGGTGCGCTGCCGCCCCCGCCCCCTCCCTCCCCTCCCTCCCCCTTCTTGCTTATCCTGGGGCTTGGGGAAGGAGGAGCGCGAGGCACCCATGCGAGCCGTGCGCCAGCGATGCACTGGCTTGCTTGCCCTCTCCTCCTTGCACACTACCTGCCAGGGCAGGCAGTGCCTCCCAGCCTCCCTCCCCACCCTGTGTCACCCCCTCTCCTGCCGCCCCCCTCCTCACCTTTAGGTATGGCGTGTTTGCGTCCCACGAGGACGAGGAGGTTGATGCGGAGCAGCCGCAGTGGGCCATGGAGCTGGCGAGCGCGGCGGGGGCGACGGGGGCGGGGCCCGCTGCCGCGGCCGCCCCCGCCCCCGGCAAGCTGCCGCTGCCCGCCTCGGCGGGGCCGCAGCCCTTCCCCGTCTACGACTCCAGCAGCAGCAGCAGCAGCAGCAGCAGCGAGGAGGAGGAGGAGGGAGGGGGCGGGACGCCGGGTGAGGCCTGCGGGCGGGAGGCTGCGAGGGCGGGGTGCATGCGGGCTGACGGGTGCTGCAGCTCTGGGGGGCCTGCTTGCTTCTCTGCGTCCGAGCCGCCCTCCCGAGCGGCGGCGTGGCGCCGATGGCGGTGTTGCTCACTGGCTCTTGTGTCCACGCTGCTGGCGCCGCCGCCGCCGCCGACGTCTCCTTCGTTCGCCCTCTCCCCGCCCGGCTGCTGCCCACGTCGCAGGCTCGGGTCGCAGCAGCGAGGAGGGCGAGGTCAGCGTGGTGCCAGCGCCAGAGGGAGACATGCTGCTGGTCAGCACCGGCCCAGGCGGCGGGAGCGGCGGCGGCAGCGGGTCGCCACCGTCCCTGCCGCCGCTGGGCAGCGACGATGCTGACATGGCAGACGATGCTGTGATGCTGGAGTATGATGCAGCTGAGCAGCTCATGTCTCTGGCCCAGCTGTCGCTGGAGGAGGGAGGAGAGGCTGGCAGGGAGGCGGCGGCGGCGGTGGGCGACATCCGCGCCCCAGCGGCGGCGGAGGACGGGCCAGGGCTGGACGGGGAGGCGTCTGGCGCGCAGGGGAAGCAGCAGCAGCAGCAGCAGCAGCAGCAGCCCGAGGCGGCGGCAGAGGAGGCAGGGAAGGCGGGCGGGCAGCAACCGGCGGCGGCGCCCGCGCTGACGGCGGCCGTAGGAAGTTGAGCTGCCCGCCCTGAGCTGTACCCTACCCCTGTGCCCCGCTGCTCCTGCCCCTGCGCTTCTTTCCACCCACGTGTGACACATGCGAATAGCAGGCGGAGGCGTGGGGTGCGTCAAGGGGGGCAGTGCTGGCAGTGCGTGCAAAACTGGATGGAATGGAGAAAGGCGGGACAAGGTTGGGTGGGCAAGGGGCGCCCGAAGGGCACATGGGCCGGGGCTGGGCCCAGCGGCGGCCGCAAGCAAGCGGGCGTGCCTCTCACGCGGGCGGGTCGTCGCACCGTGGCAGCCCAAACAGGCTGACGTCGTGGGCGTAGTAGGCCCTGAGCGCGTCGAAGCAGCCGCTGTGCTGGCCCTGGTAGTACTGCGCGTCGTGGCAGTAGCTCTCAGACGCCTCCAGCCAGTCGGGGAGCGGCTTGGCGGCGGCGGCGCAGTCGCCGCCATCGTCCAACGGACACCCCAGCAGCGACCGCCGCCG